GGTCTTCAAGATACGCCAGATACAGAATGGTAAGTAAGTTTGAAACAGGTAAACCCAGCAAGGAAAGTCATCCCTGATACTCCCAGGTACCATCATTATAGCTAGAGTGAAAAGCAAAATGTTTGTAATGGGCAATATCTGTAAACAAGGCAAAGTTTAAAATATACAAGTAACTGTTCAGCAAAATAAAAGTCTGTATCCCAGTCATGTCCCCAGTCACACTATTCTTCAACAGCTATCATTACCAGTTTCTTGAGTATTGTTCCTGAATTCTCTAAACATTTACAAACATGTATATTCTACACCGTTACCTTTTTTATTTCATTTATCTCCACTTTCCAAATAGTTCATACACATTATTCTATACAAAAGCTTCAAAAGAGTACATGATACAGATAAATCATACTTTCTTAACCATGGAATAAGTTTTTATCACCATATCTACAGCAGAGATCAGAAGTCAGCTCCTTACTGGCAGACATTATGCATGGGCATGTCTTGCTAAGCCATTACAATGGTCTTGACATATAGATCTCAACATATTTGTTATATGGTATGCAGTAGAAAAAGCTGGCCTGGAAGCTAATTATATCTATTGGACAAAGTCTCTTCCATTGTTAGGAATTTCCTGGTGTGAATGGCTATGTCTCTTCTAAGCAAGCTCTGCTCCATCTGCCAGGGTGTTCAATGGCTACAATAGGGCCCTGATGGCAGGGGCAGAACTAAGGTTTGTTCATTGTTGTTGTTTAGTTTTGTTTTGTTTAACCATTTCCATGGAAACCTCATTGCAAATCTCAGACATGGCGTTAGAATAGGTGGATCAATGTCAAGACTGAAAGGAGAGAGATTCTCATCCTACCCATCGGGACAGAAAAAATTCTATGCAAAAAATAATTTTATCATAACTATTTCAGTGAGGAAAAGAAGGCTGATGTCTGGAAAGGACCAGTTTCACAACATTATTTTTCATAAAGGAATTTCAATCATAATAGATATTACATAGCTATAAATGTAGCTATAAAATTCAAACATCACAAAGCAAGTTTCCATTTTGACTAATTTATCTGGGGTTTTCACACTTGCATCATCACAGACTTAAGACCTTCTTGCCCATTTTTGTCTCTCAGACACAGTATTTGTGTGGGACTGTGAGGGGTTGGTTCCAACACCTGCACCAGCTATTACAAATGTGATCTCCCTATGACATACAATAATCTGCTTATGTGACCTTGACCCAGTGAAAACATGTGTTTTTGGTTTCATTCCCACATTTGGAGCCCAGGAATATTCTAGGTTCCTGTAAATCACATGTTCACATTCTATGGATATCAAAGTTGAAGTCAATTGTTCTATTTTTCTAAAATTGTCTTTGTTCAACTTTATAAATTTATATTCTAAAACATTGTTTTGTGCTTTTTCCCACATTCATAACAATTCTCATATATTTGAAGGTATTAGTGTCACCTACTTCTAAATCATTTCCTTAGATCCTACCTGATCTAAGGTAGACTTTCCTTTGGTTGATTCTAGTATTCTATTTGTAACTTCTTATTTTGTAACAGCCATCCCTCGTTCTCCTTCTTTTCTTTCACTCTTGTTTCTATGCATCTTCTGTCCAGCCTACTTATTCTCCATATTATCACTCTGCTGTAGGTCAACTTGACTGAAAAACTTACCCTCAGTCTGTTTTTCTCCACAAACCTTCATTTTTAAAACATGCATGTCACTTTTTCTTTTCAGTGCAGGTTCATGACTTGTTTCATCTCACAATATCTCCCCCTCTTTTCTTTCCTTATTCTTATATTGTTAAAAAAAAAAAAAAAACGGGCAGCCCATGTAGAGGTTATCTTACACCATGAATCTGACAGAAGGAAAAACAGGAAGTGGGTAAGATGTGGGATTTAGAGGGATGTGCAGCCATAGAACATAGCAGAGCAAGGAACTAATAAAAGAAGAACTCTTGCTGGCTAACGGTGATAGGAAAAGATGCTTATCCTCACTAGGAATCAGGCAAACATATGTTTTTTGCTTATATACATAATGATTTAAAATGATGAACATTAACTCGTGTTGGCAAGGATGTAATGAAACAGACAATATTAGCAACTGGGTAAATTGACAGGTTTTCTAAACCATGGCCTGGCAACATATATCTACATTTAAAATGTTTATAGCCTTTGATCATACTATTCTGTGTAGGATTCAGCCACAGAAAACCATTGGAAATGGAAACAAAGATACAGATATGAGATCATTACTAACCTCTGCCTTATTTCTGACAGGAGCAAAGTGGGCTTGCAGGGCAGCCTGGCAAAGGGAGGCTCACACATATCAGAGACTGGGGTGAGGGAAGGTGGAGGAAGCAAAAGCGAAGTGGAAAGGGAAAGGAAGAAAAGGAAGCAGAAGGGAGCACAAGATATGGAAATGGGTAAAGGGAATAGAGAAAAGAGTGAGAGAGGCTTGAAAGAGTGAAAAAGGAGCAAGAAGTAGGGACAGGGTGAGTTTGAAAGGAAAGTATGGAGAAGGGAAAAGAAGAAGAGAGAAAAAACTCCACACCAATACACAGTCGATTATAGTAACCACACAGGTATTAAGTGGAATGACACATTTATGCATGAGAAAATAGAAAGATGGGTAACTGGAAATAAGGGGCCATGGAAAAGCACAATGTGACCCTACTGGTCTACAATGATTCATCACATAAACATGGTCAAAATCCTCATCAAATGGACTCCTCCACTCTGCATGGACTCTGTGTGCTTCTAAGTTTATCAGTATTTCAATAATTTATTCCTGCCAACATGCAACACGCTAAAACTTTACATCATTCAAACTTAGACTTCTGTATTTTCTGTGAGAGTTAACCAACATGGAAACAAAGTAGATGTAGTGATGCCACCGGCTTCCCACATTCAGAAATATGCTCATATTTGTGTGCTAAATTTAAACTGCTTGTTAAAATTCCATTTGTGTAAAGCTGTACTGCAGACAGTGGAATTTGCCTATAAAGACAAATGTCACCCATGTCACTGTACTTTGCCCAAGACTTGGGTTTATCTGAACTATTACAAGAATTCTCATTAAGAAATCTGTCAAATCAAAATGTTTTCCATCTTGAAGTCTTAGTAACATGGGTGACATGGAAGGAAGCTCTCTTAACTCAGGTTCTCCCTAAAGTAGACTATGGGTCAGGGACTCGAGAATAGGTATTTTATTTGAGTGTGGGGAAAGTCATAAAAAGGCCAAGTTAATGGAAAGCTATGGCAGGCAATTGGCTATTTAGTTCCTCTCTGAGACGTCTAAGGAACTGGGAATAAGCATCACAGATTTGTTCACTGTGGTCAAGGGAGTCAGCAGGCATTTTCCTCAATTAGTCAAGGGAGGTCCCTAGTGACATGAAATCCCTGGAACTTGCAAACCATGAGAATATGGGCCTATTAAGGTCTCTGGATCAATCAGTGCCATTTGGACTATGTTTAGCTCACCAAAACCATTCTACTCTATGGAGTGCTGGCCCTATTTCACAGATTAGGAAGCTCAGGTGCCGAAAGATCAAGCTACTTGTTGAAGAGCAAACAGTTAATAAGCAGCTGAGCTGAGCCCCAAATTCAGTGTCAGCTCTTCCACTATTGGATGCCACATGGTAAAAGCCACCACAGAAGCTCCATTCCAAAACACAGCTGTCCTTTCCTTGCTGGGTCACACAGCCCAAGATGCCCTTACACATTACCATCCTCCCTATTTGCATGGGAAATGTATTGCGATGGCTTCTCATTTGCTTCGATCTTCTTGCTTCCATATAAATACACTCTAAGTCATAATCCACGAGCCATGTGAAATTTTTATAGCATCATCACCTGTGGCTATTCCTAGTCTAAACACTAGTTCCTATGAAATCGTGCCAGAATGGAGATCAAAGTATAGGGGTGGAAATTTAAGGCAGATTTTTGTCTGATGAACTCATTGCAGAGAATCAAGTTTCACAGAGATTGAGAATTGGAGTATATTTAAAAACGATCTATAATTTTACTGTGAAGAGAGTACTATATTAGAACAAATAAAACATGCTGAGCTCTGGCCAGACACAGAGGTCATGCTAACGTGCGAGCCAAGGAGAGTCTTTTCTTGCTTTAGTATAAAAGATAACATTCTGCTAATCATTAGCATCTGAGGCTGGTCTGAGTTAAAAACACACAGAGATGCAGAAAAAGTTTCGGGAAATTATTGAACTTTCAGTTTGCCTACAAGGGGTGGTGGCAAAGTTCTGTGCTGCTCCCCAGATGATACCTAGAAAGCTACCAAATCCTAACACCTCCAATAAAGCACCAGTAGCTCTCATCACTTGTTCCTTAGGTTCCCTAGAAGCAGGTCTCTTGGTTCACAGGAAGCTCACAAAGCACAAAGACCCCTGAGGCCTTGCTCACTTTCAGTGCAGCTGTGCATCTATTAACTCAAGGAACTCCCATTCTGAGCAGTCCCATGTGAGGGGACCCTTAGCATAGACACCTCCACCAACCACCTGTCAGCCAGATCTGTAGACCACCTCCCCACTCCAAGCACTGCACACTACAGTATCTTCTCCACAAAGATGAACTGCAAAAGGCTAGGGCCAACACTGCTCACCAAGCTCTTTCACAGAAGGACTACATAAGCGTCTGAGGAAATAAAAGTGGTCTTGTTTGCATATTGCATGATGCAGAAAGCAAGACTCAAGCCACATAGTCAGTGAACTTTGTTGGAGTAGAAGCATTTTTGTCCTCTTGGTAGAAAGCTTTATGATTCTTGATCCACAGCCAGTGTGGGCAAGACTCCAGACATATGTGCTATTTATTTGTCTAGAATTCTTTTGCCACCCAAGAATGCCATAGCAATGTAAAGATCTTCTCAGTATGTAAAACATCCAAGTCTGCTCCTAGGACTCACAAAGACCTCTGTAGCAGACATACAACCAGTGGCTCCAACAGGAAAGAAAAGGACTCAAGGAGCAAAGGGCACTTCACCTGGCACACTGGGTTGGAAGACTTTATTCAGATCCAAGGAGGAGGCTCTGGAATGAGTTTTCTGTGGTCGCGGTGGCGGGGTGGGGGGGTCCTCACCCCGTTTCATGGCCTCTTCTATGGAGGTGCTAGAGTAAGATCTGCAGCAAAATAAGCGAAGATCAGAAGGGAAATAGCAATGTTTTACTCTCTGAAGTTGAGTTGAAATAGAAAAACAAAATCCAAAATGAAAGTGACTGCAAAGGACTGATATAAATTCTGCTCTTCCCTACTTGCCACTATGTACAATAATTGTCCAAATCTAACCATGAATTGGCTTTTCAAAAAAAATTTTTTTGCTCTAATTGTCTCTTAGATGTAAATTTATCACCCCTCAAAAGCTTTCTGCAAATTCAAATCCATTTCTACTACAATTTTTAATAAGAATAACACATAAGCCTTTCAGCTCAGGTATCTCCATGTTTTAACAGAAGGGACTCATAGTATTAAGTGATTACAGAATCATTCTCCTGTTCACTTCCAACTGTGATGACAGCCACATATGGAATTAGCACAGCTAAGCTGAAACTAAGAACCAAATATTCAAGGGACTATACTACAAATAAAATTTGGGAAAGAAAAATACACATTGATAAACTTGAAGGCTCTAGCTTGTCTTACACCTGAGAAATGCAGGTTTTGTGAAATTTCCAAAGCCAGAGCCTCATCTTCAACTTTGTCCTCAACTTGTAGCATAGCACAGTTTACTAGGGAACATTATTGGAACTGTAATTCCAATAATAACATTTAAAGAAAAAGGAATTCGGGGCGAAATGATCATCGTTCCATTGAACTGCTGTCTATAGAGTTGCCTATATCCCCACTAAACTGGGATCCTTTAGCTTTTACTTGTGGAATTATTTCTTTGGTAGAGAACTAAGCCCTTGATCTGAATGTAAATTTTAAAATATGTTATCTTAAAAACTAGAAGAAACAAAGGAGGGAAAGAAAGAAGGAATGAAACAAAGTGAGAAGAGAGAAAACCGAGAGGGAGAGGAAATCACTACATTCCTAGCATCGTATCTATCGATGATACTGAATCTGTTAAAAACTGAAAAACTAAAATTAAATAAATTTCTAAAACATTCTAAAATTTAAAAATTATTCATAAAAAATAAGACCTGAGTAATGTGCTAAACAATAATAGCTAAAAAGTTACACAAGCCTAACTCAAACTTCAGCCTCTGGTTTCTAAATTGCATTTTTAGAATGTTTTCACACTATTTCTAGGAGAGAAATTATTTTGTGATATTTTGGACTATTACTTAGAGACCAATTTATTTCTAAATTAGCTCAGTTCCATACATTAGTCTATTGCTTAAGCACAGATGACTCAAGAACCAAACCCCAATATGCTGACCACAAATAAGTTGTGTGTGTCTATTCTATTCAACTTCTCAGCTAACCTCATGTCAAAAACAGAAAATGACTTCTGAGTCAGAGATGTGTCCTAGAGAAATATTAATCTCAGACAACTGTCCCTGAATGTAGCCGTTAGAGTAGCATTCAGGTAATTAAAGCCTATCAATTACTATTAAGCTCTTTTAGTTGTTCATTGGGCTATTTTTGACTAAGTGAGTTTTTACTCTCCTAAATAAGTATCTCCAGTTTTTCTGTGGTAGTCACAGGTTTTGTCTGCCTTTCAAGGTTGCAGTCTTCAATAAAAATCACCATTAATGGCATGAGAGGTGCTCTGGGATGATTCCTGTAACATAATTAGCAACAAAGATAGGCAGGTAGGAACTAGCAGAGGAATTTTCTAGTACTTTCAACCAGAATCAAAGAAATCGATATGAAAGGACTGTGTTTTACAATGGTAACTCTGAAAATAAAATCAGGGTCTAGTGTGGTAGCCTAGCAGCTAAAGTGTTCACCATGCATGCACTGGGATCCAACATGAGTGCTGCTTCTAATCCTGGCAACCCCATTTCCCATCCAGCTCCCTGCCTGTGGCCTGGGAAAGCAGTCGAAGATGGCCCAAAGCCCTGGGACTCTGCACCCACGTGGGAGACCCAGAAGAGCTCCTGGCTCCTGACTTCGGATATGCTCAGCTCCAGCAGCTGCATGAGAAGTGAATCAACAGACAGAAGATTTTCCTCTCTGTCTCTCCTCCTTTCTGTAATTCTGCCTTTTCAATAAAAAATAACTAAATCTTTTTTAAAAAAAGAAAATCAAAGTGCTTTCTGTGCTATGCACAGCTTTAATAACATCTTTCACTTAAGAAAGAGAATAGCGGTGGTCATGAGGCACAGCAGGCTGAATTGTTGCCTAGGACACCCACATCCAATATTAGAGTGTTGTTTCAAATTCCAGTTACACCAGAGCAGATTCAGCTCCCTGAGAACAGAGCTCAGGTGGCAGTAGATGATGGTTCAAGTGTCCAGGCCCGTGCCACCCATGCAGGAGACCCAGATGGATATCTGGGCTCCTGACTTTGGCCTGACTCCATCCTGGCTGTTGCTGCCATTTGGAAAGTGAACCAGCAGATGAGAGACCAATTTCAATTTTATTCTTTCATTTAGATAAAAATAAATAAGCAAAAGGGGAATAATATATAACTAATGTATAATTACACATTAAGCAAACTATTCCATACCACATACCTTATTTTTATTTTATTTCCACATACAATCCATTTTCATATGGAAGGCTACTAAATATCAAAAATAAGTGCGATTCAATAACCACAATCAATTATAACACAGATGATTAGGGAACTGAGAAATGATTAATGCAGTAGTGTTAGGATAGTGATTTTAACTTGTATCTTCCCTTACATTTCTGCAAATTTTTTAAAAAGAGGATAAAATAATTTGACTTTCTTGATCTCAGTAAAGGCTCCATTGGAAATAGTGAAAATAAAATCATTCAAATTATACCAGGAGATTAATTACTAAAATAATAATACATAAATTTAGCTAGACATGAGTATGTATGCATGAGATGTTTCAATTGCATTCTCTCTCAAAGAGAAGCTAAAAGTGAAAGCTCAATGTATGATTAACATCAATGTATATATAAGCAGATGTATGTACTTCAAATGTTTTTTCTACTATGAAAGGTGATAAGTATTATCATCCCCACAACCCACAGCTAGAATAGACTAATTTGTAGAACAATCACTCATTGTTTCCCCCAAAAGAGCTGATTAATATGGTGACCAAAGAGGGATTAGACATTTTCTATCTATAAAAATGAATTATCATATTATTTTTTTAAATAATTGTAGATATCTGTACCTTCTATGAACAAGGAGACAAAACTCCAATTTGGAAAACAGACTCCTAAAAATAAACTAAAGTATAACTACGTTTTACAAAAAGTTTAAACTTTCTTACATGTTGGTATTCAAACACATAATGTATAAACACACTTAAATTCACTTTTTCAGGAATATATCTAGAAGCTAAAGAGGAGAAATGTCACTAAGAACAAAGTAAAACCTAAAACTATACAAATGTATGGAGCTCCATTGTTGAAAAAATGAGTCCTGTACTACTGACTTTCTTTGATATCTAAACTCAATCACCATCTCCATTTCTCCTCTACACCTCTCCTCTGAGTGTGACATCAACCACAGCTCTGCTTTACTGGATCTCCCTCTTGCACTAGTCTCTGGTTCCTTACAAAGTATGAGATTAAGAAGAGGCATTACATTTGAAAACTAGTTCCCTATTTCCATACCTACTTTTCTCTCAGTCATCTCACACAAGCCACTTCCTCTCAGGGAGCCAGAGAGCAAGGGCTGCCACCTTCTAGTCCTAAGCACCACAGCCTCCCAGAGGCTTGCAGCAGCACTGTATGCTCAACAACACATGTGCAATGAGTGCAATGACATACATCCTAGACGTCCAGACTAAAGAAAAAGGAGACGCTGGGTTTTATTTCTAGACAGGAGGTGGGCACAAAGGGTATTAAAACAGGAATTAAACAAACACTACCTGGATCTTGGTCTTGCTTTGAGACCGTTGGAATCCTTAGGAGTTGCTGAAACAAAGATTATTTGTTGTTTGCTTAGGTTTCATGTCTGTAGTTTAACAGGTGTATATGCTGCAGCTGGGCTAGCACAGAACAATATCAACAGGTAAATGTGATGCAGAGGTCCGTGTGTAAAATTTGCCAGCTTCTACATTTTCAGTACTAATTTTATTCCTAAAGCTGAAGGTATACTTTAAAAAAGGGGAGGAAGGGAGGAAGGGAAGAAGGGAGGGAGGAAGGAAGGAAGGAAGGAGCAAGGAAGGAAGCAGGGAAATACAGTGTATTTTTTCTTTTTTGTGAGAATGCTGAAAAGCTCTTCTGAAATCTAGGCTGATTCACGGAGATCTTCCAGTATGAAAGACTCCTAGCAAATTTGTGATGGGTTCCCTGCATTATCAAGATACACTAGTAATAGATTTTGAAACATTCTCCCAGGAAGGCTAGGAAGAAATCTGTCCACACATTTTCTTAAAATGTAATTCCACTACCAGAGGAGCCTGGCCACAAGAAGGCAAAGCTCCTAAAAGCAAGCAGAAATGAGCTATGCAGCATTCCTGTAAGAAAATACTGTGTTGCACATTTTGTTTAAAATTACCCAAGATACATACAGTAAATAGCGCAGTATCCAGATCCTTTTTCTTTCTTTCTTTGTTTATGCTATTGAACAGGCAGGTCCACAGAGACAAGAGAAACAAAGATGTTCCATCTGCTGGTTCACTCCCCAGGTGGCCTTGAGTTGAGCCAATCCGAAGCCAGGAGCCAGGAGCTGTTTTCAGGTCTCCCATGTGAGTACAAGGTCTCAAGGCTTTGGAACAGCCTCCACTGCTTTCCCAGGCCACACGCAAGGATACACGCTGCATTAGATACAAGGTTCATTGGCAGTGGAGCAGCCAGGACATAAATCAGCACCTATATGGGATGCCGGTGCTTACAGGTAAAGGATTAGCCAATTCAACCATTCTGCCAGCCCTTTGTCCCACTTTTCTGCTACCAAGTCAGTCAGAGAATATTATAGATTGAAATCTTAAAGCAGTACATTGGGATTGGCGTTGTAGCACAGCATTTAGGATCACTGTTTGCAACACTAGCATCCCATGTGAGAGTGCCAGTTTCAGTCCCAACTGTTCCATCCACTTTTGATCCAGCTCCCTCCTGGAGGAGGCAGCAAGGATACTCTACTCAATTGCTTTGAACTCCTGCCACCCTCGTGGGAAACCTGGTGTGGCCTAGTCTTGGCCATTGTAGCCATTTGGGGAGTGACTCAATAGATGGAAGAGTTGTGTGTGTGTGTGTATGTGTTCATCATTCTGCCTTTCAAATAAAGAAATTGCAGAAAGTAAAATATTTGAGGTCAACATTTTAGTGTAGTTGTTAAGCTGCTATCTGATGCACCAGCATTCCACATGGACTCCAAGTCCTTGCAGCTTCACTTCTGAGATAACTCCCTGCTAATGGCCTGAGAAAGCAAAATAAGATAGCCCAAGTATGTGGACCCCTGCCACTCATGTGGGAGGTCCAGATGGAGTTTTAGGCTCCTTGCTTCAGCCTGACCCATCTTTGGCTCTTTTAGCCATCTGCGGAGTAAACTAGAGGATGGAAGATCTTTCTCTTTTAATCTCAATCTCTCTCTCTCCCTCCCTCACTATCTCCCTCCCTCCCCTTTCTCTCTCGTTCAGTGTGTGTGTTATTTTGTCTTTCAAGTATACAAATTTCTTAAAGTAAAATATTTTGTCAACCATACGTCTACTGTCCATCAAACTGAAATCATAGACTAAGTCCCTCACTACCTACACCTATGAAGCCTACTTTCACATCCTAAGCTAGGAAGGGTAACGAGAAATATCAGGACAAATTAATCCTCCTTTTTTGTTTTCAATCTTGTGAAAGTCAACTTTAGAAATCAGGATCTATGCTAATATTTTATAAATATTGCAAATTTTCATCATAAAAATTCATAGAAAAAGTGCTACTATTAAGGAATAGGGAAAATCTATTTCACCTGTTTCATAAATTCTTCCAAAAAGAAAATTTCTTCCACACTACCCCATTCTCTGCAGTATTTCAAATATAAAAACCTTGCTGAAAAGCAAGGTGAATTGATGATCATCATCACTAAAATCCATGGCTTAAACAAGCAGAGCAGAAAGGGGGACTGAAAATCCTCACAAATTCTAACAAAACACAAAACAACCAGCACATAGTCCCTTTACATGACTTTGGTTTGCAGCATAGACACAGTTCTCTCAACTTAAACATTTTGATTTGTTGTGAGAATGTTAAGTATCACTCACAGCAACCAACTGGAATACTGCAACAGCCCTGAGAAACACGGGAAGCCTGAAGAATGCAAGCCCCTCTCACCCAACAAAGAAAGGCAGCCTTTATGGGGCCTCCCTCATAGCCAAGGAGGGATCCTTGAGGTTAGGAGGCAAAACTCACCAGAGAGCTGGGGAAAGGCACCTGAAAAGGCTGCCTAATGCTGGCTGTGTCCTTCTCCTCCCTGGGGGCCCACTGCTTTCCAGAAATATCTAAGCAGGAGAGGTCTTGACTATGTTAAAATGCTGTTCCTCAAAGCAGACGATTGTGACCGTTAATTCTTTGGTCAATTGCCATTATCTTTGCCTTTTTTGCTGGTGTAAAGATGGGTGTGGAAGGGTGGGTAAATGCTGCTGATGAGAGATAGGCAGGCAGGCAGGCAGGCATGCCGGCTAACAGATGGGGTGATGAGGTAGATGAGTGATGGAAAGTTCTGAGACCTACATGTTCCTCCTCTCCACGACACTTTCTAGCTGCTACCTCCATGAATTGCAGTTTCCTCACCAAAAGAAAGCCAATATGCATGCAGCCCCTTTGTCACAGGGATAGCTAAGAAGGTCAAGGTACTCTGAAAACTTATTTGGATGTCAGCTTTGCAAAATATCACTCATAACAACAGTATACACATTTTACTACAGCTACTAATTTTTCAGGCTAGGAATTCTTATCTGTTTAAATTTAGTCCCTTCTAGGACAGTAAAGAAGGTACATGTGGGAGCAAGTAATGGGAACAGGTAATGGAGAGAATTGCTTTATCCCAGGAAGACCATGGGTGACAGGTGGCACAAGAACAGCCACTAGAATCAGCACCAACAGTCATCAAAAGATGACACTACAAAGACAAATTGATCTAAAATGCTTCACCCCAACCCAGAAACATCAAAACAAAGATCCCCATTACACAGTGTGTCTTGCTGTAAAGTTTGAGATGGGATATTGGTTTAAAAAATCTCATAGATTCTACTAATGAGCAACTACATTCCCATTAACTCCATCTTAAAAGGCGAAGGGCATATGGAAAATTATTTAACAAGGAATGTCTTAGTTCTCTGATAACAGTACATCTCATGAGTCATCCTCCATTTTTTCATAATCATCATTACCACCAATTCTGGAAGACCCAGAGAGATTTCTCCTTCCAGCTACCCAGGCAGTGGACACCACGACTGTAGTTAACCAGTCTCCTCGTCCCTGATAATCACACTCAGCTTCTGGTACAGCTAAGTATCTGCAAAGATGGCCAGGGCACGCAGTGTGGCGAATTCAGGCAGAAGTTAGCTGGAAACAGGGAAGAAGAATGACAACTTCCTAGAATGCTCTAGGCATGTCATCTTTCCAAAGAATGAGAATGGGATGAAGGACCAAGCTTAAGAATAATTCCAAAAGGCAGCAATTGAACTTAGATTAACCATCCAAATGGCATGGAAAAACATGTAAGATTATAAATCACCAACACAAAACTCTAGTGTCTCACATGAGGAATCCAAATACTTCCCAGGAAAGGGAGTATGAGACATTTACAATCTGAGATGAGGGATTTCCTCATATCAGAAAGGAGCAGCAGTAGGAAAAATGAGCTTGAAAACACAGAATCATCAAGAAACAACATAAAATCATTTCACATACACTTTGCACATTGTGGCACATGACTTATATCATGTTTGGTGATGCCATGTTCCATTCACCAAAGGCAGGTTAAAGATAAGATCTAAAGCTCAGGCTCCACAGAACACGTGAGATCATGCAAAAGTCCCTAAGGGGAAGGGGGATATGAAGACCTAACATCCTCAAAGGCTGCTATAGAGTCATCAATTGAAAAACCCAAATATAAAAAGCTTTTGTTAATACCACAGCATGAAACGTATTAAAAACTGGAATTTATCTATTTTATTTCAAGACATCCAGGTTGGAAAAACCTAACCTCAAATGATTTGCCTCCACAGAGCATTTCATCTATGATGAATGAATCAAAATCAGTTTGAGAAATCAAATTAGATTTGGAATCTCCACAACTTTTGGAATTATGAATTATCTACAGTCTTAATTTTCTATTTTGTAGCATCTTCTAGTGTCAGTAGCTCATGAAACATACTGCATATCAGAATCATTTGGCTGAAAATAGAGATTTACAGGCCCCATCCCTGAAATCAACCATATACTCTTTCTCTCCCTCCCTTTCTTAATTTCTTTCTTTCCTCCAAGTCCATTACCAACCCTTCTCTCTTTTAAACCCTGAATGCCGTAGGTCTCTGGGAAGTATTATCTCATAGCATAAGTCTCAATGCTATATTAGTCATCTTTTTAATAGATGATAGCTAATCACAACAGACATAATTTACTTACTAAATATACAAAAGAGACAACAGTAAAGGACAAATCAGCAACTTATTTTATATCCTCATAATCAGAGTTCTAAATAATAGCATCTTCCATGGCCACTTCATTTTTAGCTAGGTTTACCTTGGTTAAACATTACTAAAGAGCTAAAGACACACACCTAGACATTCTCCAGAGACACAGACACATTGTGACAGTCCCAGACATTCCCAAACACAAATTTAATTTTTCTCCTTGGAATGCACTCCATGTACAAGTACACATACTTGTCTTCCTGGAAGTAGAACATAGCAAAATATTTGAGATTTTTGCTTTAGAAATGTGAAGCAACTCAGCTTCCAGTTGGTCAATCCCATCAATTCCTTACTATGCAAAAATAACAACCAAAAAACCATACCTGAATGAAATCATCTCAACTCCAAATCTTCTCAATTTTACACTTAGTTACAAGACCCTACATTCAACCTGAGTGATCCTTTGGCGACACTTAAGCATGGAACTGAAAAAGAAATCTTATTCTCAGACAGGAAAAGAGGAAAATGATCAAAAACTAAATGGCTCCCTTATAACAAAACACAGATATTTGGAAAGAATCCGACACACTGTCACAGAGGCAGCAAGCTTTTAGAAATTGTTTTGTCCAATTAGAAATAATTCTACACAGAGTATGTTAAAATGGTTTTCTCCTACCTGAATCCTCAGACGCGTCTTTTGGTAAAGCTTCATTGACAGTACTTTTCAAAGCTGGTGGGGTTTTGTTTCATTTTTACGGAACAAAAAAGAGAAAAAAAAACCCATGAAGTTTTATTTCTGAGACACATTACATTAAAACAGAGCTCTTTATTCACGTGACTTGTAAAAAAGGGGGGGGGGCCCTTACAAACTACTAGAGACTACTACAGCACTAATTAAATAAAGCAACACAGACTTCCTGGGGTACCAAAATAGCTTCTCCTCCTAAAGGCCACAAAGATGGAGGATGATTATTTTAACTTTCTAGACAGTGCCTCTACTCGCTAAGAGGACTGTTACCAGGAAGTGCCTAGAATTTCCTCCTCATTCATTCTTCACACTCAGATCAGTGCTTCAGAATCTCTCAGGCTTCAATTCTTCGCTTTTAGAATCGGCCCAATTATTCTACTGCACAGCCAAGACTAAGATTCGGCAGTTGGGAGCGTGACTACAGCAAATGCTCTTGTGGATAATGTTCAGTTCCACCTGCCTCTTCTAACCTAGTATTTAAACAATGAACATGAAAATATTGTTTCTTATTGGAAAACTTTTTCTTCATTTTGAATCCCCTTACAAAGTTGAATCAATGGCAGGTCTCAACAATAAATCCCAAAATAGCTTTACTGAATTTTAGTCCTTTCAGATGAGCCTCTCTGTTTCATGGGTAGCAAATCAGTATCAGATAAAAATAAATACTGGCTTGAGACTCAAAAAATCTTGGTTCTTCTCCTAGTCATTTTTCTTGCTAAGTAAGCAAATGATTCGTGTTGTCTGAACTTCAGTTCGCTCGTGTTTACATATTGGGTGATAAAACATACCAGTCTCCAGTTTCGTGAGAACTGAATAAAACAGTATGTAAGAACACACCTTAGTACATGATAAAGCATTACCAAAGTATATGAGATGGGAGCAGGAAGTCCTTCCTATACTTTTGGCTATTCCAAGGTCAACTCATCTCTGCTCTGGATAGCAGCTCTAGCCCTGAACACTTTGTTAAACTGTTTGTCAGCTACCCAGTACAATAAGCACATTGTAGCTGGTTCCTTGTAATATTTAGACAAAGTCACTAAGAAACAAATACATCCAGAAAGCTGCAAGAGTATTTACTCACGGATTAGACCCATATGGAAAGTTGCACTGATGGTCTAGTGTCAGATCTGCCAACAGCACAAGTTAAGCTCTCAATTCTTTCAGCCTCTAGTCATTTCCTAATGTGTATGACCAGACCCCCTAAAAGGCATCAGAGTAGCTTGAGGGTCAGCAGTGACTAAGGGACCGCAGAGTTGGAGGGCTTGGAGGACACTGGACACCTAAGTTCTTACTACCTGCTCAGGAACTATAGTTTTCTGACAACAATTCGTTTTATCTGGCCAAATGTGGTTACATGCAGAGAAGTGCTCTCACATGCTCTGAAAGCTGCCATTCTGAGACAAGTGGATAAGAAAGCAGAGAGACAATGTCATCAAAGGGACAAAATCCATTCTTTCCATACCTTGTTTGTCATCACCAGTCACATCTTGAGTAGGAATGGGAAAGTCAGCCATTTCTTTAACAGATGTCTTCTTGGAAAATAAAAGTAAATGAATTATACAGGTTGAGACGGAAATTAAGTGATGTGTACATAAAATAAAAATGATTAAAAGGCTATATTTCTTGCAAATATTTCTGTTTTTGTTGAACCCTAACAGTCAACATTTAACATTATTATATATTTTTTAATTACCCAATAAGGTATAAATTGATATGTACTGAAATTTTTACACAAAGGAAAAAATGATACCAATCAAGGCATACACAAACACAACACCATGAATTAAATCTAAATTTGGATTGAGATTCAACCAGAGGATTCCATAGCATTTACTCATCCATCTAATTACAAACTTGTTCTTGACATGCTTTTTCACAAACCAAGAGAATTTCTGACGTGACGCTATAATGCAAACATTTTATAGGATCTGTCATGAAAAGGGTGCAAAATCCTGATTAAAATAGCCTCATCTGGTGGAAAAATAAAATATTATTGAGATACAGATCAGAACTTTCTCTTAATTTACTATGGGTAAGTCCTCACTTACATTAGCCAAATAAGTACCCAAATAGATCAAGTATGAATTGTTAAATGGTTTGAAGTATGCTTCTTATAAATTGATGTCTTTTTTAAAAATTATGTATTTTTGAATTTTTATTGGGAAGTCAGATTTATAGAGAGGAAAAGAGAAACACAAATTTTCTGTTCATTGGTTCACTCCCTCAGTTGCCACAATGGCTGGCACTGAGCCAATTCAAAGCCAGGAGCCAGGACCCTCTTCCAGATGCAGGTGCAGGGTCCCAAGGCTTTGAGTCATCCTCCACTGCTTTCCCAGGCTACAAGTAGGGAGCTGGATGGGAAATGGAGCAACCAGGTCACAATCTGGTACCCATATTGGATCCCAGCAGATGTAAGTTGAGGACTTAAGCCATCTAGGCTATCACATTGGGCCCCATAAATTGATTTCTTATAAATTCTCAACTATGTACACTTGAACTACAATTAATAATGATGACTAATATATTTCAAAATTGTTAAACAGTAGATCTTACGCATTTTCAGCAGCAACAAAACTCATAAAACAGCATGATGCTGGATAAACATTTCATACTGTATATATCTCAAAACATTTTAAATATATACAATTATATCAATTATAGCAAAATAAAGCTGTTAAAAACATACATTTTAAGTACTCTAATGAAATTTAAAATAATACAGGTTCACACTTTATTTATCATCACAAACTCTTGAAAGCTGTGTAAGAATTGAAAGGTGGGGGCTGTGTTTGGGCATAGGATGCCATCTGCAATGCCAACAACCCATAGAGGTGCCAGTTTGAGTACTTCACTTCCAATCAAGTTCCCTGATAATAGCCTGGAGAAAGCAGCAGAGGATGGCCAAAGTGTTGGTGTTTGGGCCTCTGCCTCTGATGCTGGAGGTCTGTAAAAGCTCCTGGCTCCTGGCTTCGGCTTAGCCCAGTCCTGGTGAATGCAGCCATCTCGGGAATGAGCCAGCAAATGGAAAATATCTCTCTTTCTGATGTTCAGATCAATCTTTAATAATAATAATATTTAAAGGGGACTTGAAATGGGAGAAAAGAATAGGAAGAGGAGCCATAACCAAATGCTTTTGACATGCTTAATATTTCAAATGCACTCAAAACCCAGATAAATATGAAAAAAAAGAAAAAGAAAGAAATGAGATTAAATTCCTAGAACTGTCTTAGTTTGTCACTCAGAATTCAAACAACCCCAGAGAAAATAACCATGTTTCTGTTTTTACATTGCTCCAAAGTTGCAGTCCCATTTGATGGTAATTTCACCTAGTATTTCACAATCCTCAGTCAGATCACTGTTGGAACTACAATGAAGCCTCCACATAACCCTAACCCTCCACATATTCACTGCAATTGTTTTTAATTTTGGGAGGGGTATAATTTTACAAGATTCTTTTAAATGTACATGAAACTCAAAGGAGGTAGAATAACCAAAACACTATTGAAAAAGATGAGCAAAGTTGTATAATATTCATACTTTCATTTTCAAAAGCCAACACAAATTTATAGCAATTAAGATACTGTGGTATTGGCATAATCATAACATAAGTCAATTGAAGAGAACTGAGAACTGGAAAGAAACCTTCACACTTATAGTCAACTGATTTTCACTGAAGGTGCAAGACAATTCGATGGGGAAAAGAATTTTTTCAATATGTGTTGTCTGGACAACTAAGTACACAAAAGACAGAAGCGTTAGACCCTCCCTAGGAGAATATATGAAAACATACTCCAGTGGATCACAGATCCACATTTAAGATCTAAAACTAAAACTGAGAATTTGTAAAATACAATGTCCATGATTTTATATTAGGCAATAGTTTCTTAAATATGGCACCAAATGTACAAGAATATTTACAATTCAATAACAGACAACCTAATTAAAAATGGACAAATGATTTAAACAGACATTTTACCAAAAATGATATATGAATGGTAATAGTCAAACAAAAGGTTAGACATTAGATCATTATGAAATTCAAATCAAAACTATACTGAGATATCCCTTAATTCCATTTGAATAGCTAAATTCTTTTAAAAAATATCAACTAGGACGCATAGAAATTGGAAGCCACATACATTGCTGATGGGAAAGTAAAAATGGTACAGCTGCTGTATAAAGCAGTTTGGAGGTTCCTGAAAAAGACAAGCACGGTGCTGGGTTTTGGATATGTGATTAACATTCTGTATTACATAGAAGAGTGTCTGAGCACATCGCCTGGCTCCAGCTCCTAACTGCTGCTTCCTGCAGCAGTGACCGTTCAAACAGGATCCAGGACACCTTTGTGAGAAACCAAGATGAAACTCATGGATCCCAGCATCAACCCGACCATAGCTGTGGCTGTCACAGGTACTTGGAGAATGAACCAGCAAGATGAAAATCAATAAATATCTCCCTTTCCAGTTGCCTCTCTGTGTGTTTGTCTCATCCCCAACCCTGCCACTCATTTTCCCTCCCTCACTCACAAATAATTAAGAAGTTAAATACAGTGTTATGATATAATCCAACAACACCACTCCTGGATATATACCCAAGAGAACTGATGACACACTTATGTCCACATAACAACTTAGGCATGTTGAGACTAGAGGAAAAGAGTAGGTAAAAACACTGCCGTGTAAAGTACAAAAAGTATATGAAACTAGCTGTACATAATGGCCCCCAAGGTAAATATGTGTAAAGTCACCAAAGACAGTGTGTGTACAAAGAAGAGCTTACATTCACCTACATACTTGCTTTTCTTTCCTTTTAGATTGATGATAAATGACTGTATGGGGAAAGCAACACAAACCAGCAACAAAATTTTAACCCCAAGAAAATCAACATGATTAGCTCTGCTGGAAGAACAAAGACTATCTAATATCACAGTACGTTGGAATAATGTGTTTATATAGAAATCAGAATTTGTGGCATTTTTATGATAATCATCTAACCACCTCATAATTGTATACAAGCAGGGGAGCCATGCCAGGGCAGAAGAGGGAGAAGAGCGCAATAGAAGTGTCCACACCGGCTTGCTCACCAAACCGCACCAGACATTACCCAGAAGCCCCGAGGTAAACTGAGTGCAAGATAAACAGTGAATGACTGTGTGAGTATCTGTTTCTTGTATGAGCTGTATTATATCAGTTCTGCAGAAAAAGACATTTTAAAAACTGGAAGTCTTCAAACGTCTATCACTCCTCCTGAAATCATTTGCTTTATAAATTTTACTCCTGAGTAGAAATACGCTGAGAAGAGTGTCATGAAGGTTCCAACTTCAAGAAATCAACAGTGTCAAGGAGAGATGCCCAGGCTCAGTGGGGGTCCCTGGTGAATGGAGGATGTGATGGATAACACATACTGCAGGCATAGAGCCCCCATCACACAGTCACAAGCCGTTAAGGAAATGTCCTGGAATCCTGTTGTTCTATAATCTGCAATAATTTCATTTAGAATCTGAGCAGTCTAACAGGAGTCTGTGAAAAAAAACTCCATTTATTAAATATTTCTAGATATTTTTTGGAAGGAATAAGACACATCAAAAGCCCCCACATTAGCAATCCTAATGGTATTAGTGGTGATAACCATAACCCTAACAACTCTTACTTACCGACTCATGGTCAATGATCACTGAGAACTTGGCTAAGCACTTCCATCAAAAGCCCATCACCTAGGAATTTGTCAAGCTTCTCTTGGGGATCATCGCAATCAGCCTTCATTTGGTCCAAAAGCTAAAAACTCCAAGAGCTCCGAATGCAAGCTGGAGCCCTCACATAGAGTTCTCAGAGCTCTTCCCAAAACTGACCTGATGCATCATGCCTTGCATAGCTACTAAAAATACAACTCAAGTTAAAACTTAAACTAAACAGCTTGACTAGCATTTTCTGATTTAGTTTGGCTGTACACCTCTGAAAGGTCAACAGACCATGTTGCATACATGATCAAATCCAGCTTAAGGCAAAAAGAAAAAAAAATAATTATAGACACATCTAGTATCTAGATTTGTAAAGCTGATTCTCAAAATAACAATTATAAAGAGAACATATTACAAAAAGTTCATTTCCATAGCCCTTTTTAAAAAAATATGGACCAATGGATTTAATTCTACACAATCTTCATTTATTAGCATATGAATTCTTACCTCCATTCGATTCAAGTCACGAGGCTGTTGGTTTGCTGGCATTGACTCAGAATAAGAATCAAATAATGTGCACTCCCATTTAGGCTTAGGAAAAGCTAAGAAAAAGCAAACAAAATGCATAAGAATATTTGCTATAGCAAGTAATCTGTGTTTTTTATCAGCTTTCCTGTGCCTATTAAATATAACAACAAAATCAGCTAGTATCAGCCATCATCAATAATGATATTCCCGTATCGATACTGTTGAGGTAGGCTCTTTAAACATACAGCCCACTACTTCTATCATCCCTATTTAAATACAATGAGACTGAAAAATAATTAAGTTGAGCAACTTAATCAATGTCATGCAGCTGGTAAATGGGACAAGACTTGAATTCCCAGCAGCTTAGTTTGAGGGCCCTTGCCCTCAGCAATTCGTGCTATACCACAAGTAGCCATTTTGCACGCAAACCTACACTATCACAATATTTAAGCATTAAATATGAAACTAGCATAATTTTTACATATTAATAACTATGGTGAAAGTTTGCAAACCATGGATATTATTATGGAAATAATTCATTTCAGCTATTACTAGAAATAAACAAGATTCGATAATGATTCATGCCCAAGATAACTTTGTACAATCTACTGCTCTTTGGTTAGCAAAAATAACAAAAAGAAAATCATAGCAAATTTTTGTCGGCTTTCAACATGAAAATAAAATCATTCTATGTGTTTCTTCTAATCCACAACAATGACAATGGTGAATGAATTAGCATGAGGAAAAAGCATGCTACTTGGTGAGCTAATTATCTAACACCAAACTAATTTCTAGAAGCAGATTAGACTTTGCCACTTTGTCACAAAGCAATTAAGAAATATCTCAATAGCTAAAAAATGTGTCCACATTCTGAATAGAATAGGATTCTGGTAAATAAAAAACAGAAGCCACAGATCAAATTTGTCAAGACAATCTGCTAGGAAACCAAATTCTAATGCAATCTGAAAAACAAAAAACATGTTTTTAATCAAATGTGGAAAATAGATTGGCACTGTTTTTAACCCATCTCTAACTCCCACCCCACCAGGAATGGAAGTGAGAATACCCCTCTGCAGTAAAGAACTGGCTACTGAATACCAGCCCCATATGAACCTGAACGCAAACACCTGGGTTTGTTCATTTGCTTACTCTGGTCTGACATTTTGCTAATAAATGGGAAACTACGGGCCTGGTTGATTTTTTGAACATATATGATAATCTGATTTCCTTGGTAAAAACTTTCAATAAAACATTTTTCAAAGCAACATTTCCAACCCAGCCCCAATGAAAAAATAATGTATGTAATGTAATGCGTATGAGCTAAATTGATATTTTGAGATTTGATTATTGTTTATAGATTATTATGTTTATAATGTTTTCTACTTAACTATTTGCTCACTTCTTTAGTGGAGGGTTAAGCTTGTGATTATAAAGCGAACTGATAGTATGTCATTGTAAAAATTAGAAGAAAAATAAGAATGAAAAGAAGAGTGAGGGTGAAAATGAGGAAAGGAAGGAGGTTAAAGTGGAAGTAACATTATGTTCTTCCATTGGTATACATGAAATACATGAAATTTGTTGCCCTTATATAAAAAAATAATATTCCCAAGTAATAAGGACTGGTTAAGAGGACAATCTATCTTTTTATTCTTATTTTCCATTATACAGTTTTCTTTCTCTCCCTTTCCCGCCTCCCCATCGTCCCCCATGTTTTCCACTATATAATCATTCAGCTGTAGTGTCAACTCCAGCTTTCTGTTTTTTGTGTGTCATGACACTGCAGGTATAAGCAATGGTAGAGAGTTTAGTACCTTGTTGTCAAGGTATATTTAACAGTTTATTGGGGATCTTCTTTTATTCAGGAGTTGAGATACATACTGTAGTTCTTTCTTTCCCCAGTACTCTGGTCTCCATTTCACAACTCATTTGAGATTACAAGTGTATACTTGTTTACCTATACATCTTTTTGTTTTGTACTTTGGGTCAGAGAGAACATATAATATTTCTTGTTTGGGGATTGGCTTATTTCACTGAGCATAATGGTCTCTAGCTGGGACCATCTTGCTGCAAATGGTAGAATGTCATTATTTCAATGGCTGAGTAATATTCCATTGAGTAGATTAGATGTGCCACAGTCTCTTTATCCATGTTTCTTTCAATGGGCATCTAGGTTGTTTCCATGCTGTTGTGCACTGTGCTGCTACGAATATAGGAATGCAGGCTGTTTTCTCCCATGTAGGTGTCACCTCCTTTGGCTATGTTCCCAGGAGTGGGACTGCTGGGTCATATGGTAGATCAAGTGTCAGTTTTCTGAGTACTCTCTATACTGACTTCCACAGTGGCCGTACAAGTCTGCAATTCCACCAGCAGTGGAGTAGGGCACCTTTTTTCTCCACATCCTCGCCAATAGTTGTTATTACCAGATTTCTGAACGCAGGCAGTTGTTGCTGGAGCTAACTAGAATCTCAATGTGGTTTTTATTTGTGTTTCCCTGACAGCTAGGGTGCCTGAGCATCTTTTTCATATATCTGTTGCCACTTGAACTTGTTCTAAGAGGACAATTTAGTAACATCAGTAACTGATGGGCATATTGCCAGGACTTTACTGATCTACTTGTATACAAAAATAAATCTCCTTTCAATAAGTTACACAGAAAGAGAACAGCGTTTACCAATGTAACACACACATTTCTAGTCTACTAAACAATGCCCTGACTAGAATGATATGTAAGATTAATGGCTTTATCATAAGAACGTCCTCCTACACAGAAAATTAACACTGAGAAAAATTGCAAATTTCAAATTTTTAAATAATAGTTGCATTATTTTTAACATATTGTTTACTCAATACTATGTCAATCAATTCCATAACACTATATATTGTTGCTGATGTTTTGTTGGGGCTTTTAACTGACTGGGATTTTACTCTGTTAGCTTTGCCTTCAGACCAGGGAAGGCCTCCCCAAGAAGCCGTTAAATGTTATCAGGACAAATAGATGCTGGACTCAATGCTGGGTATGTGCTTACAATGAAGGAATCTCAACTGAACTTGAACTGTGGTTATGCACCATGGGGGGAGGGTTGTGGGAGGAGTGGGGGAAATCCAAGCACCTATAAAACTGTATCACATAATACAATGTTATTAACAATAAAAAAAGATTCATTTGTTTTATTTAAAAGATTTACAAAGAGAGACACAGAGAAAGAGCTCTTCCATCCATTGGTTCACTCCCTGCAATGGTAAGGGCTGGACCAGGCCAAATCCAGAAGACAGTTGCCTAGAGCCAGGAGTTTCATCCAGGTCTGCCATATGGGTACAGGGGCCCAAGGACTCAGGCTATCCCTTATGTGATGACAGCATCGCTTGCAGCAGTTTAACCTTAACCCTAATGGTAGCCCTAACTACTTTTTTAAAAAGAAAATTTATTTATTTGAAAATCAGAGCTATGGAGACAGAAGGAGAAACAAAGAAAGATCCGCCATGTGCTGGTTCACTCTCCAGATGACCATAATGGCCCAGGCAGGGCCAGACCAAACCAGAAGCCAGAAGCTTTTTCTGGGTGTCTCGCGTGGATGTCAGGGGCCCAAGCACTTGGGCCATTTTTCCACTGCTTTTCCAAGGCCTTTAGCAGGGAGCTGGATTGGAAACAGAATGGCTCGGATACAAACCAGAACCTATGAGATACCAGCCTTGTAGGCAGTGGCTTAACCTGCTGTGTCACAAGGCTGGATCTCATGTCAACGATGAACTGCTAAACCTCTTAAGGAACTCCACATCTTTACCTCCACTGTCACCTGCACAATATGAAGCCTCCACTATGTTCCTGATTGGACTGTTCCCTTAACTTGGTCTTCTGCTTCCCATTCTTGCCCCAGAAAGCTATAGCACCCAGAATGATCACTTCAAACAGCAAATCTGATTCTATCACTTTCCAGCCTAAATTAGGTCAATCAACCATACCTTCCTCTTCAACACCATTCCAGCTCCTCTATACCTCACCTTGTGCTGAAATTTCTACTGCTCTTATGTCCCAAATGCTCCTCTCAGTGTTCATCCAGCATTTCTGAAGTGCCCTTTCTCAAGAAACCACCGCCCCCCCCGACCAGAAAATCTCTTTACCTACACAGCCCTTAGCTCATCTTTCACATCTCAGCTCATGCAGCACCTTACTGTGTTTGGACTTCCCCTTCAAAGCACGTATCACTGGCTCCAATAGCACTGTGTAAGCCTATCTCATATCTTTCTCCTAACCACAAGTTCCATGAGGGTAGGAACTCTGTTTTACACAGTGTTCTGGCCTCAGGAATCACACAGTGTCTCCCTCATAGCAAGTACTCAAGAAATATTTTTAACAAACCATATGGCAAAAATTTTCAATTACAATTTACCAAGTCTCACAAACATGAAAACAAAAGACTCATTCATAGGTAAAGACACTAAATACTCTAGTTTCTCCTTCCAACTTTGGCCTTAAATTATCAGTGTTAGCAAAAAGAGCTGTATTTGTAATTATAGTTCAAATAACATGAGATACAACTCTTATTTCATTATGTAGTTGACAAGAAGCTTGTGCAGTTTTGAATGCATCTATACTCAACAATCTTCCTGAAAACCAGATTTTTTCAAAGATTGCATAGAAATCAATTAGAAAAGTCTTGGAATAAGACATAAGATTTTTAAACAAGTAAATGGTTTTATATTAAAAGTAAATTTTATAAAACAAAACATAAAAGGTATGCAATGAAACTGAAGCAAAAAAATAAATGAAAATGACCACTCATATTTTTGCAGTGTCTAAAAGTATAGGAAACATCTAGATGGTTCCGGCCATTTTCATGAGCTTCATACAGGGATAAATATGGATAATAAAACAAAGTTTCCTTCAATATACTGTTACTGAGATTTCTGCAATTCGATGAAGCTTCGCATGTTTTCTTTTACAACTATAGAATCCAGGATCAGTCATGCAACCTCTGGAAATGATGTACATTTTTATTTATATAAACACAACAAATTTCATGTATCTCACCTATACAATTTTATGAACATAATGATACTTCCTACCATAGCTTCCCTCCCCCCCAAACTTCCTTCCTCTTCCCTTTCTTATTTCTCTTTTCATTTTTATAATGGCACACTTTCCATTTCCTTTCTAATCACAAGCATAACTTTGGAAGATATGGCATGCACTGCTGTTTCCATACAAGTGCATGGGGCTCTCCATAAAAGACATAAAGAAAAAAAGGGTTTCATTTTAAGTAAAGTGAGATGCTTTTTGATTTTTGTTGATAGACTTTCCTCTGTTAAATAGACAAGCCCAAATGAGCCATCTGTAGTAGTACAGGAATCAAGTTACAGCCTGTTGACAGAAAGTAGCTGTTATTACTAAAGTCAAAGCCCCAAAATCAGTAGCAATCCAGAATGGGTCATTCTTCCTCCAATATGCTTACCCATCATTGGCACCTACCACATACGCAGGGTTTCTTTGTTTTAGTTGAGTCCCTATCTTCCCCCTACCTAATACCTAATACATGAAATAACAACCTGTTTCTTTATCTAATATATGAAAGGCAGATGTACAGAAAGAAGGAGATACACAAAGATCTCATTCAGTGGTTCACTCCCCAAATGGCTGCAACAGCTGGAGCTAAGCTGATCTGAAATCAGGAGCCAGGGGCTTCCTCTGGGTCTCCATGTGGGTACAGGGTCCCAAGGCTTTGGGCCATCCTTTACTGCTTTTTTCAGGTCAAAAGCAGGGAGTTGGGCCCGGCGGCATGGCCTAGCGGCTAAAGTCCTCACCTTGAATGCGCTGCGATCCCATATGGATGCTGGTTCTAATCCCGGCAGCTCCACTTCCCATCCAGCTCCCTGCTTGTGCCCTGGGAAAGCAGTCGAGGACGGCCCAAAGCCTTGGGACCCTGCACCCACGTGGGAGACCCGGAAGAATTTCCTGGATCTTGGCTTCGGATCGGCACAGCATCAGCTGTTGTGCTCACTTGGGGAGTAAATCATCAGTCGGAAGATCTTCCTCTCTGTCTCTCCTTCTCTCTGTATATCTGCCTTTCCAATAAATAAATCTTAAAAAAAAAAAAAAAAAAAAAAAAAGCAGGGAGCTGGATGGGAAGTGGAGCAACCAGGACATTAACTGATGCCTATATGGGATCCTGGCAAATACAAGGCAAGGACTTCTGGCACTAGGCTACCATGCCACGCCCAATAATCTGTTTCTTTAAGAGAGTCAGAGGCCCCAAGATTTGTCACTTTGAAGAGAGCACTACACAAGACAATCAAAGGCCTTTCCAAATCCAACCACAAAACTTCTACTCTATTAATGAATAGTTACAGGTTTTTGAAGACATTGCACCCTCTTGCTGATAATCAACCATGACTAAGCTCTCATTTACTTACAGTCCTTCCCAAAAAGTGAGAAACAATTCTAAAAGCACCAGCTGTTGACTGTGTGCATTCACTGGACAATGAGAATCAGGCCAGCACCCAGTGTCTTTGAGAAGAAAGCAGTAATTCTTTCCGTCCTGTCTATCTCTAGGTTGGTCTTTTTTTTTTTTTTTAAGAAAGAGAAGAGAAGGGAAGGGAAGGGAAAGGAAAAGAAGTGAAAGAACTGAAGAAAAGAAGAAAGAGGGAGGAAGGGAGGAAAGGAAGAGAAGCTTCTTGGAAGGCCTGGATGCAAATGTCCGCCGTCTGTGATTTCGGAGGCAGCCTTACCTGCTTGCAGGTACTCTGGTTGCAGAGTCGGAGGCAGGCCCTCAGGCAGTGGGTAGCCGTTCTTCCGGGCCACAATGAGATGAAACGCAGCACAGAACTCGGGCAGGGTCAGAGCACCATCACAGTCAGCATCACTAAGCTCCCTGAATGTAAGAGACATCATGAGCACCCACCACTGGGCACAGACCAAAGTTGCTGGGCTTCAAACACTCAGACACATCTCCCAGGCTCTCTGGCAGTGGCTCCACAGAATCTCCAAATTCCCCCAGCCAGACCCATTTGAGATGAAAGGGACCACTGAAAGGAGGAAAAAGGCTGATAGTCATTGGCATCAGTATTTTATTAACCAAACTTTTAATTCTTCCACTTCTCTAGAAAATGTGCTTTGCAACACCAAGGATCTGGCTTAGGAAACTAACCAGAAAGAAAAAAAGATGGCAGTGTTTGCAGTTAGCTGAGAGCCATTCCATAACACGGCTGCGGGGTGTGAAGAACCCCAGGTTTGGTGCTCAAAGTCCATAGGGGAACTGCTATTTTACAGGGGTCCCAACCACTAAGTAGTTTGCTTCATTTTTCAGCTTTCAGAAAAAAAAAAAAAAACCACACTGATCTTTTGGAGGTACAGATTTTTGCATCAAACCATTCTCTGCTTGAGGATTTGCTCCTGGAAAACACAAGTAAGCCTAGAAAGCAATGACTGGTATGTTTTTAGATGAAACCAGCACCAAGAGATGGCTGGAAACAGACAAGGTCAAAAGCAGGAAAGGGAACTTCTTGCAACAGCTTATCTGTGCTTCAGTTGCTGCTTCCCTCTGAAAGCCACAAACCTATTTATTCCACACAAAAGAAATCTATTTGCCAAAATCACTACAATCCCAGAAGCTCAACGCGCACAGAACAGATGTGTATTCTTGTGCAGGACAAACACTGAGATAGGACAGTTACAGAATTATAGTAGAGTGATATTATTTGAAAAAATGTCCCTAAGCATAGGGGCATTACTTTCCTTTATATCATTCACCTCATTCCCCTCGTTGTCCTCCTCCAATTCAGAATGCACTAGCCATGAAATAATGGCTCCCCAGGGTAAGAAGCTAGGGAACTACTCCAAATGCAGGATGGGACTGCAGCATTCCACTGTCGGGGCATGTCACAGCCAATAGAGAGGGAGCCTCATGCCTATTACTTGAAGGTTGGGGATTTTGCCAACACAGACTGTATTCTTTTCAAATGAGAATTTCATCCTTTTTAGACTTAAAATCTAATATTGCAATGTTTTAACCTTACATTTATGGCAGCATAATCTGAGGCCCAATCATTAGGAAGAGCTAGCCTACACAGCCAGGAGTTACAGCATCATTAAGTACTTTCATAAATGCAAATAGAGCCATCTGGACCAGCCCAGCATGGCCCTGCTAGAGCCAGAATTGCAGCAGGCTCAACTGCAAAGTGCAGTGAAAGCTGTAACTGCAAGTCTGAGTCACAGCCCAGCTGATAAACATCAATCAAATGTTCAAAACTCATAGGCAGCTAGAGTTGCTGAACTTAATTACAAAATATTTCTGGAACTTCTGTCAATTAGAGAACCTTGAAAAGCCATTTTGGATAATATTTTATAAAATAAAATATTTTGTAATTTTGATAATATTTTATAAAATATTATAAAAAATGGCTTCTCAAGGTTCTCTGATTTCTTACATTACAATGAGTAGGACAATCTGAAAATAAAACATAAAAGATAGCTGGTAGCACATGTCCAAGATTGCCTAAGTAGAAAAGGGACCAAGATAGAGATAATTAGGAAATAATAGTTAACGAATATCGTGCTCAGCATGGACCAGGCAATATTTCTTATGCTTTCATATGACTACTTACTCAACCCTCACAGCAAACTTGTAAAACATCATTCAAGACATCAGACTTTTAAAATGCTAGAGGTACATGTATAATAATATGATTCAATCAGCGTTGACTATACTCACCATATATAGGAGAGTTCTGGAATGGAAAGCTTTGATTTCGTGAAGAAGTTTTTGGCCACAGAACCTACCAAAAGCCATTGTTTAAACAAACCATTAGTTATCTAGAACAGTTTTTATATTCATATACATTCTAGTCATCATTTCTTCATTTAACAATCTCTATCTTATAACCACAAACATAACAATTGTTCCTCAAAGCAACCCTGAACCATGGGGCTAGACAAAACATAAGAAGTTTCTTAAAAGAATTTATAACTTTTGTTCTATAAACAGGAAAAAGAAGCAATGACAGTAAACTCATGACAGACACAAATCATATAAATAAATCAATTCCTATTTTGTTTCTCTCAAAACTGTAAGATTTTACTAGAAATTCAAAATCAAATTGGAAAATCAGCAAAGTAACAATCTACCAAGTGCTCAAATTGAAATAGTGGAAAATTGATAGCCAAAGGTAGAAAAACGGGCAAGAAGAAGAAAACTGACTTCACTAACTCCAGTCAGACACCTTGGAGAAAAGGGTTTGGTGAGACTTCGGATCTCTCAGCAGCACTTTAGGAATGTATTCAGGAATTTTACTCTAGTCACTATAATTTACATATAACAAATGACATCAGGCATCATCGCATTTTTACATGCTATACAACTACAATTCTCAGTTGTACTTGAAATGTACACCTCGCTGAGACTATATTTATTTTAAATCTTTAAAATTTTCAGTTATCAACACAATACTGTGGTTCAAAAACCGCAACTTCAACACAAAGAACAGCCAAGCAAAGCCCAACCTCTGTTCTAAATGGATACAAATTAAGTCTTCCATAGCAATCACAGATCCTCTAATTTGTCTTAAAATAACAGATCATAACAAAACATAAAGAAGATTTATTTTGTTTGAGAGATTGTTAAGGATCAAAAGCAAAGTACCCTATGAACCAATAAGCCTCCTCTCCAAAAGTATCCAGGAAACAAAGCTGACATCTGGATTCTTGACCATCAATGAAGCCACCTGTCAAATACCTGTTGGACCTATTTTCCAATGACTTTTACCAATGATTTCATAGATATAAAAATAGAAGACATTCTCCCCAAATCTCAGTCTACATTTCCACCACTCTAGTTTCTTATGTCAAAGCACACCACACGCAAACCTTCAGCAGAGCCCTGCTTTGCCTTCTGCACAGATCGCCGCCCTGCTGCCGAGCACCCGGGCAAGTGAGATGGAGGAAAGGGAAGTTGACAGCTAACAAGTTTAGTTGTGCCCTGGCTGTCACCTGATGAAGGAAAGTCTACGTGTTCCCTCCTTCTGGGCTGACAGGGAAGTTCAAAAGCTAAACTGGATCTGTCACACCAGCCCTATCACAAAACACCACAAGATTCCATACAGGCTCCATTCCTGTTCTTTCAAGCTATTCTCATATCTGCTTTGTTACATAAGTGGAAGAGGGAGGGGTTAAGTTAAAATTATGAATAAATATAAAATGGATTTAGGAAGCAGGCATTTGACCTAATGACTAAGAAACTGCATCCCACATCAAAGTACTTGGATTGAATTCTTGGCTCCAACTTCTATCTCCAGCTTCCTGCCACCCCTGTGGGCTATGTGGCTTATAATCCAGAACCAGAAGCCTCAGCCCAGCCTTGAGCAGGACATTAAAAACATTTAGGAAGTAAACCAGCAGATGGGATTGATCTCTCCCTCCCGAATCAGTAATATATAACTATATTCAGGCTTTTTATTACAAGGAGTGTCTAGCACCTATAAACTACAGCTGCACAAAGCATTAACGTAACAGTGATAAACTATTAATACATAACATACTATAGGCTTTAAAAAATAAAGATCAGGGAGCAAATGCTTAGTGGTCTCACATCAGAACACATGGATTTGGTGATCAATTTGTTCTTTTTTAATGTATTTTTAAAGATTCATTTAATTTTATCAGGAAGATTTCCAGAGAAAAGGAGAGACAGAGAAAGATCTTTCATCTGCTGGTTCACTCCCCAAGCAGTCACAACGGCCGGAGCTGAGCTGATCCAAAGCCAGGAGCCAGGAGCCTACACCAGATCTCCTACATGGGTGCAGGGTCCCAAGGCTTTGGGCCATTCTCTACTGCTTTCCCAGGCCACAAGCAGGAATGGAAGTGGAGCAGCTGGGGTACAACTGGCACCCAAATGGGATCCTGGTGCGTTCAAGGCGAGTGCTGCAGCCACTAGGCTATCATGCTGGGCCCTATATATTTTTTAATTTTCATTTTTCATGATACAGTTCCATAGGTTCAATGGCTTCCTATTCTACTCTACCTTTTCCCCTCCCCCACTGATTTCCCCTATAACAATAATATAGTCTTCAGCAACAGTCACAAGTGCATCATTCTGCTATTCAAGTGTATCCTGACATTGTAAGTAAGACAATGGTAGAAAGTCCAGCATCCTGTTGTCAAGATATATTTAACAATTTCATTGTGGATCTATCTTTTATTCTGGAGCAGAGATGCTGCACTGTATCTTACTTCTCGACATGAGTCTGCCTTATATAGTTCCTCTAGATGAATATCCATGTTTACCTATATCTTTGTTCATCTTGTATTTTGCATGAAGCCTGCCTTACATCTCAGAGAATATATGATATCTGTCCTTTTGAGACCTTCGTGGAGGTGGGCATTTGACACAGCAAAGCAGCTGCTAGTCCGAACACCTGCGAGCCCCATCAGAGGGCCCAAGTTTCAGTTCCAGGTCTGTTCAGTCCCAGCTTTCTGCTAATGCAGAGCACGGGCGCAGCAGGTGGGAGCTCAAGTCCTTAGGCCCCTGGCGTGCTTACTGGAGAGGGTGCAGTTCCAGCTCCCAGGGTCAGCCTGCTGCAGCCCCATTTGGGGGCATTTGGGGGAGTGAAGGAGCAGATAGGGAAGCACTCTTCTGTCTTTCCCCTTTTTCTCCCCCTTGCCCCTTCTTCTCCCTTCTTTACTTCTCCTCTCCTCTTCTCCCTTATCCTCTACCTCCTCCATTCTTTAATAGATCAAATTTTAGCAGGTATTTGCAAGGAGCAATGGCATGGCACATTATGCTAAGCCTCTGCCTGCAGCACTGGCATGCCTTATGGGCACCAGTTTGTGTCCTGGCTGCTCTGTTTCTCATCCAGCTCCCTGCTTGTGGCCTGTGAGAACAGCTCAAGTGTTAGCAGTGTTAGCACCCCTCCCACCTGTGTGGGAGACCCAGACGAAGTTTCTTGCTCCTGGCTTTGGCCTGACACAGCCCTGGCCACTGCAGTCATTTGGGGACTGAACCAGTGTCTAGAGGATCCGTCTCTCTGTTCTCCCTCCTCCCATCTCTCCCTCTCTTTCCCCCTCCTCTTACCCCTGTCTCTTTACTCCTCTCCCTCTCTATCTGAAATTCAAGTAAATAAAAAATTCCTTTAAAAAGAAAATAAAACGAGGCCTTAACATTAGAAACACATTTTGAAATATTTTTCAAATGAAATGATTTGCCAGTTATCTGGGCTGAAAAATGATACAAGAAAAAACAGTCACTCCTATACGATAAATACATAAGGGTTTGTCACACTGCTTGGCAGAACTGTATCTACATTTGCAATTTTATAAAACAAAAACATTTCTAACAAATATTCATTTATATTTTACTGGATATGCACAGATACTGGGGAGAAAGTCACTTGAGTAGAGAGCAAGGTGACCAAATAGGGATCGCATGAGTGTGGATCATGATGCCGACATTCACTTATTGCGTCACACTCTTCAGTACAGCCACTGCCACCAGTCAGAGCGATGCGTGCACATATCTATACAAACAGATTTCAATTACACGCGTTATTCCATGAAAGGAAACTAGCCTCAGTCCACATGCCCAGATGCCATACCACAATGACCACGCTGTTATTGTTCAAAGTCGAAGCACGAGAGAGAGAGAGAGAGACAGAGAGAGAGAAGGGGGGATGGATTGATAATTTCTCTTGCAGACTGTACTATTCCACTCCTCGTTTAGTCTTCAGCCTGGCAAGATGCAAGCGCCCAGGGATTCAAGCCAGTGCTCTTGGCTTGCCGCAGGCGGGAGGACTCACCGGGAACACTCCCCTCAGCGGGCAGCCTAGGGGAAGACGTTTCCGAAGGAGGGACCCGTGGGGAAGTGCATGCCACTTTTCCTCATGACTCATAACTTCTCTCAGGAAAACCAAACCCAAAAGACTTAAGCCAAAGAAATGAGCAAGAGTCTACAGCTCTAGGCCCGGGCCGCTGCAGGACTGCTGAGCTGTAGGCTCCCAAGGAAGCGACAGCCACTCTGCCCTAACATAAGCAGCAAGCAGCAGAGTAAGCAAGGCGCAGGAGCAGCTTCCCTCTGCCTCCATTTCATCTCTGAGATGGAAGCAGGATTTTACAAATGTCATTGCCATTTTTTTAAGGCATAGTTTATCCTTGTTAAGAAATTCAACCTTAGAGGAAAACAAGCTGAAACCACAGAGGGTCGTGGCGCTCAATCTGTGTGCACTATTCCGAGCTGTGTGCTCAACGCAGGGGCACCTTGCTCTCACCTGAGATGAAGGAAGTGGGGTCAGGCTGCAGGGAGCGGAACTGGTTGACGTAGTACTCCCGCTGCTCGTCCGTTATCCGCCAGGGCTCCTCGGGGTAATTACTGCTGCGATCCTGCAGCTCTCTCTCCACTGAAAAGGACTTCAGAAGAAAACAAATGAGCACATGCTTGGAGAACCTATGCTCAGTGAGATGAAGCAAGAGTCAAATACCAATAAAATCTAGTGTGCATCCATACTTAATTTTTCCTGAAGGAAATGAACTGAACAGCTTCACGACCAGAGTGTGACTAGAACATAAACTTCAGAGGCAAAATCATACTCTATAATTTCTTTAATTTCCCAAAGTTGTTAATAGGACTGAGAACTTGGTGCCTGACATAAAAATTCTTCCAATGTGATCACTGATTTAAAAAACAGACAATCTTTTCTTCTCTTCAACTATCCACCACAGTTAGATTCTTTCTGACTGTCTGTGTGGACAGTTAAAATTTAAAAAATAGAAAAAGCTGGTATGTTTTTTAACCCACAGGGATGGAACTACCACAGCAGCTTGTAGCCATATGATGTTATTTCTACGACACTCACCCTGATTCAATGCAGGAGTCAAAGCCCTGGTTAAAATCTATACCCTCTGCTCTTACTTGAGTGGCAAGTCAGGACCATCAACCCTCTCACTGCACATCTGTGGCTGAGGATAACGCTCAGGACTAGAGCTGGCTGGTGAGAACGGCTGCTCAGAAAGCATAAACATGGTAATACGCAGTGGGGCCTGGGGTGCAGAGGAGCCGTCACTAGAGGGCGCACACGTCAAATCTGAGGATTTACGAGTCTAGAAGCTCAGAGAAAACAAAGCTCTGCTGCACGCTGTAGATAAGGGACAAGGGAAAGCAGCACTGGGGGGAGGGGCCAGAAGGGTTCCTTGCCTCCCATGTACCCTAGGACTAAGGCACTACTTGCTAAGGGCCTTCTGCAGGGAACCAAGAGGTGAACACAGGGAGGGTGAGGTTTTAGAACAAAAGCAAATTCAAAAAGGAAGGGCCAGGTGTTCCAGCTGTGGTGCCCAAGAGTTGTCTGCTTCGGGGCACACCATCAAGGAGTTAATCATTTAGAGGGAACTCTGCCGCACTATCCTTGAGACAGCCCAGCACCTCTTTCTCTTCTGGAGTTTCACCACCACCACATACACTTGCTGTTCCCCCAAAACCATTCCTCCCAGAAATTCACTTCCGTCCGATGACGTGCAGAGAACAGTCTCCGTAAGATTCTGAGCTGTGATATAACCTTCACATGCCATCTTTTTTAAAGTGGCATACTTAAGACTCTGACATCCACAACTTTACACTCAGGGTAAAGTGACTTGGAGGGCAGGTGACAGAGGCAGTAACACCTGCACAGTGCATAGCCCCGGGAGCGCTGAGTGAGCGGCATCCAGCCGAGAGGCCATTCCTCAAGGAGAGACTCTGGGTCCTTGGGCACAGTCAGAAGAAAGACCACGTAAGGATGGCAAGGGTTCTGCACATGTTACTCATCACTAATTAAGACGTTGCTTTCACATCAATGGGTTCGCGTGGAAGGCAGGGCTGGAAACAGAACTGACCCAGCAAGCGCAATGACCAGCATGTGCATAAGCTGATTGGAGCGAGGGACTGTGCCAGACCCTGTACTGACAAACACACACCAGAATCAGGTCTGGGATCACCTCAGATGAAGTTTCTTTGGAGATCCCTTCAACTGAACTGCTGATCTCAGAACCCCAACCATGAAGGGACTATGTCAGCCAGTGGATTCGAAATAGATTTCATCATGCTTGGAACAGCGAGATTGGCAGCAGTTCAGAACTGTTGAACTATCAAAACTGCTTGAGCAGGCCCGGTGCGGTGGCACAGTGGTTAAGGTCCTTGCCTTGCAAGCCCAGGATCCCATATGGGCGCCGGTTCTATCCCAGCAGCCCCACTTCCCTTCCAGCTCCCTGCCTGTGGCCCGGGAAAGCAGTTGAGGACGGCCCAAAGCTTTGGGACCCTGCACCCGCGTGGGAGACCCGGAAGAGGCTCCTGGCTTCAGATCTGCATAGTATCGGGAGTGAATCATCAGACGGAAGATCTTCCTCTCTGTCTCTCCTCTCTGTATATCGCCTTTCCAATAAAAATAATAATAAAAATAAATCTTTAAAAAAAACCTGCTTGAGCAGGACCCTCAGAGCATGCCCCACATCAGGGACCTGGGATGGGTGGGAGGCAGGGTGGGAGGCAGGGTGGGAGGCAGGGTGGGAGGCAGGGTGGAGCTTTTCCCTTTGTTTCTCCCCTGACTCCAGATACAGGGGGGAAAATGATATTAGTGTGAAAACAATGGTATTACCCACTTTCCTGTAGGCCTTGACCCTTTGTGCCCTAATCAACTAAGTAATATTATTTAAAAAATTGAAAGATATAAAAAAATGTTGATTTCATGCTAGAGAAGCTCTTAGTAAAAGTAAACCCAGTTTTAAATGTCCAGGCAATCACTGCGCACTCACTAACCGTTTACATTCCTAGATGGCCCTGCAGTTCCGCAAGCTTTGCCCGCCTCCCTGCCTTGCTGGAGCGTTTCCGGACAGTGGGGAACAGAAGCACCCATGCTTTCTGCAGATGAGGAAACCAAGGCTCAGCAAGCTTAGGGATATGACCAGGGTCATTACTAAACATCTACAGGCCGAAAATGATGTCCTCCTTCCCTGCTCTTTTTCTTGCAATATTAATTTTTTATTGTGTATATAAATCTCAGTGAGACATTTACAGTGTCAAATACTTGTATTAGAAAAGAAGAAAATATGGGCCCAGGCACATTAGCCTAGTGGCTAGTCTTTGTCTTGCACGCACCAGGATCCCATATGGACACCAGTTACTTTTTTTTTTTTAAAGATTTACTTTTATTATTTTTTTTATTGGAAAGGCGGATATACAGTGAGGAGAGACAGAGAGGAAGATCTTCCGTCTGATGATCCACTCCCCAAGTGAGCGCAACGGCCAATGCTATGCCAGTCCGAAGCCAGGAGCCTCTTCCGGGTCTCCCACGCAGGAGCAGGTTCCCAAAGCTTTGGGCCGTCCTGGACTGCTTTCCCAGGCCACAGGCAGGGAGCTGGAAGGGAAGCAGGGCTGCTGGGATAGAACCGCCGCCCATGTGGGATCCTGGGCGTGCAAGGCGAGGACCTTAACCACTGTCCCACCGTGCCGGGCCCCACCAAATAAATTTTTAATTTTTATTTCTTTATTTTTTAAATATCATTTTATGACACAGTTTCATACGCTCTGGACTCCCCCAGCCCCTCCCCAAGTCCTCCCCCCATATTGATTTCCTCCATATTGTTACAGTAGTACAGATCATAACCAGTCATGATTCCTTCATTGCAGGCATGGACCATGCAGAGAGTCCAGCATCTTATTGTCTAGATAAATTCAACAGTTTCATTGGGAGACCATCCTTGGTCTTTTTTTAAAGACCTACTTATTTTTATTGGAAAGGCAGATTTATAGAGAAAAGGTGAGACAGACAAAGATTTCCTGTCCACTGGTTCACTCTCCAGATAGAGGCAATGGCTGGAGCTGAGCTGGTCTGAAGCCAGGAGTTACTTCTGGATCTCCCACATTAGTACAGGGTCCCAAGGCTTTGGGCAATCCTCCACTGCTTTCCCAGGGCACAAGCAGGGAGCTGGATCAGAAGTCCAGCAGCAGGACACAAACTGGTGCCTATGTAATGGAGTACAGGTACCTGCAGGCAGAGGATTACCTGTTGAGCTAGGGTGCCAGCCCCTCTCATCTGTTTTTCAAAGCCAGGTTTTAATATCAGGATTTTTTTTTTAAGTTGGCTGCTTCTATCCTAATCTTTAAATATCTATCATTCTAGTGATAAATAAACAATGTAAGTAAAGAAAATTGTGGATATCAAAAGTCAGTCTAAGTACCCAACAGCCCACACAGCTTTTTAATATGTTCCTATCAAATCTAAAAGCCATGTGCTGGCAGGATCTTGGAAGGCATCCAGATACCTGGTTGGGCATGAAGGCAGAATCCAGCAGGGATATCAGCTGGCAATAGACTGACCTCCTGGCTGTGCCACAATGCAGGCAACTCCCAGAAAGTCTACTCTCCAAAGTGGCACTGACAGGAAGAGCTGCAGCAAAGGTGCCAGAGAGCAAGGCAGATGCTTCTGCATGAACAGTTCATGATAGCACAGCCCATTTCCAAAGTCTGGTCCCAGCATGTGCAAGCCAATGAAGGCAGAGAAGGCTGCACACTGTGTGCTGGTCTGCTGCCTTCCCTGGCTCTGACATGGGCGTTCCTACCCCCGGGGATCTACCCCTTCCATCCCCTGTAGTGAGGCAGTGCCTTCTGTGGCAGCTATGGGCATGTCCTGTGCATTAGAGAGCCCTGCAGGCAGCAACAAAGACTGGAGCAGATGCACAGCAGGACCATGATGTAGGGAAAGAGCCAAGTGGGATGCAGAGTTAAGAGTGAACAAGAACCCAAATCCGCACTATGACGTAGGCAAGAAAGCAATACAAAGAGGAAGAGGTGAGAAAGGCTACCAGTGGCTGAAAGATAAGGGGACAACAAAGCAAACTCAAGGCTACAGGGCAAGGTCAGATGGCAGACAAACAAGCACAAGCAACCAAGGACTCCCACCCCTTGGGACCACTGGGCTACTTCTTTCCTCTCATTTGTTGAATTCCTGTAGGAATCATGGGGCCAGGTCAGCAAAAGGAAAACACTTGCAAAGACACTGAAGCAGGAGACAAAATGCCTATGCCCAGGAGGCAAGTCCCACAGCCCAAGCACAGGGAGAGCAGGTGCCAGGGCAGCGCAGCTGTCACTGCAGCTGCCTCAAGATGCTCCAGCAGACCATGCAGGTCCAGCACACCAAGGCAAAATATCTTGGCTGCATCCAAAAGACAGGAGGAAGCCGCAGGGAAGTATTAAACAGGCTAACCAAACAATCACATGAGAACTGCAGGAAGAACATATCAATAAGGAAAATGGATGGGGGGAAGGCTCCAGACAGAAAGAGCAGTCGTGGCTGAATCAGCAACCCCAGACAGGAGTAAGGCACTGTAGAGCTAAGGAAGGCTGTGAGAGAACTAGCAAAGAACACCCCACGTGGCCACCG